TTATATTGACAATCAATGATTGCAACAACTTGATGATTATTTTCCGAGAAATTGAAAATGAGGCAGGATGAAGTGTCACCTCCAAGAGGGTGTTTGTGAGGGCTTATACTTCGAAGCCTTTAAGCTATTTTAGCTTTTGGTGGCTTTTGAGTTCTATGGTAAAAAAGGTTTATTTTCCGAGAAATTGAAAATGAGGCAGGATGAAGTGTCACTTCGAAGAGGGTGTTTGTGAAGGCTTATACTTTGAAGCCTTTAAGCTATTTTAGCTTTTGGTGGCTTTTGAGTTCTATGGTAAAAAGCTTTTTAAGTCATTTGCTTGGTCAAATCTGTTTAATTTGGATGAGCTTATAAGCTAGTATTAACAGATAATGTGCATAGCACGTGACATAAAAAGACGGAAGTGCCCCTTAGTTTATTAAAAATTACATTTCTGTTATTTTTAAAAAAATTGGTCTTAAAAAACCATTCCCCCGCTTATTCTTCTTCCTCCAGCAACTTCGTCTTCTTCTTTGACCACACTGGATGTCGCAGATAAATTCACAATAAATCTCGACCCAACTGTCCTTCCCACTTCCATCTCCTGAAAAAGCATTCTGCAGACCACAAAACCACTTTCCCTTCACAAATTTTTAACCCTGATCGAGGATTTCTCAACAAGTCAAAAAAGGTAAAACAGGATGAAGAGAGAAAGGAGTGAAAAAAATTTGTTTTTGCTAATCAGCATTCTAACAGCTATTTTATGTGGGCTTGATTTGTTAGGAGGGGTTAGTTTGCAAAAAAGGGCCAAGTAGCGGTTATTGGGAAAGGGCAATTTGATCATTTCACAATTTTCAGGTAGCATCATCAGGGGGCTGAGTTGGAAAAAACTTCAAAGTTTGGGGGATTAGACGAGAAAGCCCGAAGTTTAGGGGGGTTCAGTGGAATAAGCAAAGTGACGGGGTTATGTGAGAAACTCCCCAAAGTTCGGGGGATTAAGTGAAATTTACCCTAGAGAAAAAAAACCCTTTAAAACATCAAGAAGGAACCAGTTATTACTTTGCCTGATATAATGGATTTTTAAGTTCCTTCATTTCAGTTTCTACAAATTTAACTTTTTGCTTAAAAAATGTGACAATTATGTGCTCCCATGTAGGCCTATAAATGATTGTTAAATTAGGAATTGATTATTACCTTGAAAACTTTATGATTATTGACTAGAAATTGAAAACGAGTGGGGTAAAGTCACTATTTTTTACACCTTAGCGTAATTTTTTGCGTGCATATCTTGACGCTGCTTGTTATCACCTTGCCTTCCAGAATTGGATTTCTAAGTCTAAATTCTTGCAGAGGCTGAAAGAAAAAGGAAGGAAGAGGCAGAGCGAAAGGTGAAGCTGGACGAGATTGCTGAGAAGCAAAGGCAGAGGGAGAGGGAACTGGAAGAAAAGGAAAGGCAAAGACGGGAAG